TCGCACTGGAGCAGAAGGCTCTTTGTTTCCAAACCATTTCTTGAACTCCGCTTTCTTCTCTTTGACTGCCAGTTGTACCTCTCGTGACCACCATGAAGATCTTTGCTGACCTCCAGGCGGCAGACCAACCCGTTTAAATCCGCAGCATTCGGTGGCAGCCTTGAGAATGCCGCTCTTAAAGAGCTGCCACTCGGTTTCAATATCAATCCGGGATCTGTTCAAACAGTCGTGCGATGTCGTTTGCAAATTTCGCTCTTGTGTCCACGGAAGATAATGTTTCCCATTTGATTCTCCGATTGCTTCTGCCATCAGATCTTCGTATGGTACTCCATTTTTTACAGCACAGCGTGCCAACAACAAGGTGATGATCGATTGATAGCTCTGCGCCTCTCTTAATGCGAACATCCATTACTGAGCGTCTTAGGTCAGACGATACGATTGTCAAATCGACCATCGACTTCTGTTCACAGGCTTTCTGGTACCGGGTGTACTGATGCACTTTTCGATGCTCGAAGAAGGTGTTCATAATGGACAATTCGTTGTTTGCGCAAAACCGCAGCAACTTAATGTGTTATTGTTGAGGTCGCTAGGGCCGTTTTTTCCAAACATACCGTTCCACTTGTCAGCGCCTACTCACATGCGCATTAAAATCGCCCATCAGCATTAGGATTCTGTATTCGGCACTTCGGACAGAGCACGCTGCACTTCATGAAGGAAGGTATCATATTCTCCCTCGAAATTGGGCGCATAGACCTGTAAAAAAGTCCAAGTTTTGGGCGGAGGATTGTCATCTTCATTCAGGGTTGACAGGCTTCCATTCAATGACTCTATCAGCCAGGTTCGGTTCTACCAGAACATCAGCAGCGGACAACCAACATCAACACGAGTAAAATAGCTTCTACCAGCAGAGGTTCAGGATTGCCGAGCTTTGGCGCTTCGTTGACGACAGTCCAGCTGTCTTTATTTGATATCTTATGGTCTCATCAACTAAATCCTGCTCCTTCTCTCTGAGTGAAGATGTATTTCAATTTCTGAATATTAATTTCTTCTTTGTTAATAATTTCAGGGTCTTTGCGATCCGGGTTCTTCATAAGAATTGGCTTTATGGTATCTTTTATGAGTTTGGTAATCGGTTTTGTTTGATGTATTCTGGTGGAATTTCTGTCAGTGTCAGAGTTTGAATGAAACTGTCATTTTTCATAAGAATTAAAGGATCTATGGTTGACTTAATTTGAACTGAAGATCATGGCACGAAGAAAGGTGGCTTTCTTAACGTATGAAACTGCCTTTTGTGTTATCATTCAGATCAAAGAATATGACTCTGCAATCTTCAATTCAGTGTTAAGCAATACCTTCTTCCCCTTGTATAGTGAAAACCCGTAGATTTCACAGGAATGTGTGAGCTAAACACTATTGTCATGTTGATGATTCCGCGTGGCCTCTAAGTCAATTTGTTCGGCTAAGGAACGCTTTTATGCAAACTTCGTCAGTTTTTTCAATTCGAAACTTATGGAATAAGAGGTTTAATCGAGTTTACAAGTTTAATCATGTTTTGTCCGAGCTAGGAATTACAGACTTTGAAGAGATGAATCAATTCTTGATTAAATGTACTGCAGGCAAACCGGCCACGGCAGTCATCTTTACTCTCAAAAGAAAATTTTCGATGCTTTGACTGATGCTGAGTTTGCTGGTGGAAAGTTCTTCAGATTTACTTTCTTCGCCTAGTCGAACGACGATCGGTTAATAGGAAGATTATCGTGCGTTGATTAAACTAAATGCTTTGTTTTATCATGCGCTTAGTTTCAGCTTTTGCGTGCATCATTGTGTGGGTACAGGAGTTTCAGGTAGGCGAAGAAGAATTACGGCCTTAATAAATGCTCGCTTCCGAGAGCATCAAGTTGTCCCTATTGTTCGCAAGTCCACGTACTGTTACCTGTTTCTGGGCTGGTTCACTAAACCAACGGTTAGCAGATTCCTTGGCTTAAGGGAATTAGTGATTGAGGCAATTTTGTTGTTAGTCAGGATTCGATCCTTTTACCTCCAAAGTTCGAAGAGAAGATTTACTGTTTTGCCACCCACTTACCATGCTAGAAAAGGTTTCTTGATTAGCGGAAATCCGGCTACTGTACAACAGCTTCCTGAACTCGCGACCGTGCTTGATTGGGATACTTTGTTATATAGATGAACGATTAGATATTTCGTTGAGAAACATGTTACCCCTCTTCCTTGTCAGATATTGGTCAAGTTTGAATACGATAAAAGATAGGACATCCCATTCGGTGTTAGGAATGCAAGGAACTGGGGTACAACTGTCCTGTCTGCCGTGTACTACGGTTCAATCATATAACGAAAAATTTTCTCCATGAATTTGAGGAATATCCCAAAATGTCTTGCGCGATTACTTTCTAGGGAAAAAAGAAAGTTTGTAACCGTTGCAATATCGGTTTCCTCACACTTTAATGACTGAGTCATTTCTGACGCCCATTCTTTCCATTAGGTTAATGGTTGAGCACTTAACTCCATTTTATGCCATTGCCTAGGAACGCCTTATTCGTTTCTAAGGCATATTCTACGGTTGTGTGGTGAGCATCGCCGTTTATCTTCTGTTTCATTCCAAAACAGTGGTTCTCCTTTACTTACATCCGAAAGAAGAAACGCGAGTGATTGGCCAGGACCTCTCGGTTCTGAGTCCCATTCTCGACTGACTGAGCAACCCCGGTTTGAAGCAGTGAGTGGTGAACTCGTTGCTCAAAGCGAATTCGTAGTTGAGGTGAAGATTGTTCATCCGCTGGCATCGAACCCGGCAGCTCCTGAGTTCGAAGCGCACCTCTTAGGGA